CTATGCTCAGCATATATCCTCAGCTATCTGTCATTGACTGTTCAAGACAAGTAAGATTTATTATTATCTCATCTAATTATGAAAATGATAAAGTGGTTGAAATCACGGAAATTGTCTATTTCTGTAAAAAAAAAAATATCTGAGCTGGTATTAGCAATTTGCTAATAGCAAACACAATAGCTGGATCATTTCTTGAAAATTCGAGCTGGTATAACGATACCGACTTCAAATGATTGTACACAGTGTATGTAGTCAAAACAAAACAAAACAACTCATTATCAATTATTGATATCAATTAAAAAATCCATTCAGAATGTTCTGAATACGCATTTTCTAATGGAACTTCTGAATCATTCCGAAATGTTATCTTAAAATTGATATTAATAGTTCTGTGTTCGGTACGCGACTAAAATTTGAAGAGAAGTTTTTTTTATTGAATGGTTATTTTCTTGAGTAAATTGAATTAAAGGTAAGCGGTTTTCTGATTTATTTTTTTTTCATCAAGAAGAATAGCTATTTTTAGAGTACAAAAATTAACAAAAATAATGAAAAAATAGTTCAAAATGTACAAAAAGCCAATTTGGAAATTCAAATTACGTTGATTAGTCATCGGTCGCACCCATTACAGCATTGACCGTATTCATTTGATACTGTCTGTCAGCTGCTGAAAAATTCAAGATGGCTACGATTTTTTTTCCATTGATTTCTGTCATTCGAGTGCCAGTGTGTCGAACATTTTTTCTTAAAGGTAAAACGATTCATTTTCTATTCTATTGTTGTTTGGAAATTACGTAATGAATATTATTTTCATATAAAAACATGTGAAAGAACACCATCGATGTGAAAAGAGTGCTTGAATCATTAAAATAATAATGCATTTCAATCTTTTGTGCAGAGAGTTTGTGAGTTTTTTCCAGTAACAAACGTGATTTAAAAAAAAGAATACAAAAAACAAAAATATGGTTTTGGATAGTGACGATAAATGTGCCGAGGCATCAAGAAATAATTCGGCCAGTCCGACGACCAATCCTTCTGGTACAGTATCACTGCATCCGCCTTTCATTATGAATATATTCGAACACTGGACACGTATTGCTACTCAAAATGGTAGCCCACAACATGGTAATTATCAACATGTATTTTGTGAAGTAAAAAAATTAACATCACCTCTGTTTCGAAAGAAAAAACAAATAGAATTTCATCGTTTGGTACTTATCCGCTAAGACTGTGTCAACAATAAATTTCATTTTTTTCATTGGCAGTGATTGGTGGATTAATCGGTAATCGAAGCGGTCCTAATGTTGAGGTTATGAACTCATTTGAACTTGAATTCAATTTTTCCGATCATGACATCATCATCGATAAGGAAAAATGTCGCAACAAACAACAAGAATGTAATTTGAATACTGGCATTAAAACTAAATCCAATTTTCTGTCCGAATTTGTGCATTTATCGTTGTATTTTTCCCTATCTTTTGTCGATGTATAGATATAGACAAACAGCCGTCCACAGATTCGGAGTTTCTCGGCTGGTACAGCATCGGCAATCATCCAACTGAAGAAAATATCAAAGTGCATAAGCAAATATGCGAAATAAACAAAAGTTCAATCATGTTACAACTTAGCCCACAATCATGGAAAATTGACGTAAAATATATATTTCAAATTTCCGCATTTTTTTTATGTATTCAACTTAAAATTTATTTGTTGGTCATCTTTTTTTCCAAGCAGCTCCCCGTGAAATCGGAAAATGAAATTTCCCATGTCAATTTACCATACAAATCATTTTTTGTTTATGCAATTAATGAAAAGCTAAATAAGTTAAACCAGTTGGATCTACTCATTAAGCAAAACAAAGATTATCACGAGGCGCTAGTAGATAAACTCAACGAAATGATCCGAAAACAGAGCACTAACCATGAAGCCTTGATGGACAAACTCGATGGAATGAGCAA